TCACGATCATTCTTATTTAATTTTATTGTAACAAATAAAATAAAATTTTCCTTGTTCCTAAACACAATGATTCATTTTTAAAGGGAAAAATAATTCGAAAGAAAGCGTGATCAATGCTATCTAAGATGGGTGTTTACGAGTGAAAGCGTAAAGATAGGATCGAGGGAGATGGGAAGTGGCGATTACCATAATCGTAGCCTCACCTCAACGCATTCGTGTCACGACTTCGTTCCTCCTCCTCCTGTGGCTCCTGCTTCACTGCCATGTGGAGCAGAGGTGGCAACGGACACTTTATGTGCGATGTGTGATGCAGATGATGCTGCAAAGAGGCGCTGTCTGTGGGGCCACCGTCTATACCAGTAGATTGTGTGCGAGACACGATTTCCTCGGTCTGCATAGTGCCCCCTACAACATCAAAAAAGTAATTGATTAGAATCGAACGATTAATGAAATTAATCATAAGTAAAATAATGTTTAAAACGCAATGATTTTCGATATCTCATTGCTAATATTCTTCAAAAATATAAATAAAATAAATGCAAGGTTCTAATGATTCCTAGAACAACAAATATGATTGATTATGTTGGAATCGATGAATTATCATAATTACTAAAATAGTTTTTCAATTGATCAGAGAATCAAACTATTTAAATCAAATTAATTTTTTTTATGTTGCGCGAGAAGATGAAAAATTACTAGATTCTATAGATAATGTAAATTAATTATTTGATATCATTTATTCCATCATCGATCATTTGTTGAAATGAACACAAAATTTTGTGCCAAAAGTGCACAAAATTTATTACAAATTCACAGCCAGTTGGCCAGCCCGCAACATGCAACATCATAACATTCGCGCCAACGAATTTTAACTTTCCGTTTCGTCTCTAAATCATATGTATATAGATTCGTATTATCCGAAGTAAAGGTTATGCGTGGGCACCGCATTGACATTAGCGCCGCCACCATGCAACCTGAATATTGCGGAATATTCATAACCTTCTCTGTTTTAATGAAACAATGTCCGATTAACCATAAACGTTCGTCCAGTGTTTCCACGCGGTTTCTAATCGTAGAACACGCGTAATAGCCGTGAGAAATGGAAGAAACCAAACAAATGCCCACATGCAGATTGTCATCAGATTGTGCGGGAGAATTGCAGCATAGTTAGATTAGTCCTAACATGTGGGCGCGACGGCCAGTGTGTCCAAGGCTTCGAAATCGTATAAAAAGGGAAACGGACAGCTGCCGCGTATTACACGACTCGAAGATCGGCTTAGGAATGCTTTTCAACTCGCCTCTACACACCTGTCATGTATAATTTTCTCGTAATGCTCCTTTAAGCTCATCGAAACGTCGATCCGCCACGTATAAATATAGTATCATGGTTTACGCGTAATAATAAACGCAGAAATAGAAGGACATGGAAGATATTTGCGAAAACATTGTAAATTTGTGCGCGAGTGTCGGTAAAAAAGGGAAAAGAAAAATTTTGATTAAGGTGAAGGTAAAAAGGAAAGTTAGGTTAGGAAATTTCAATACATTACACATGAAAAATATCGTTTAATCTGCGAATATAAAAAAAGAAAAAGAAATTTTTTGGTTAAGAGTTTAGTTTTAAAATAGAAAATTTTATAAAGAGCATGAATTATTCGCAAGAAAAAGAAATCTTTTAGTCAGATGAAAGTAATAAATTTAAGATAAAAAAGAAGATGAAGATTATAGTTTTAAAGTGATTTTGAAGTTCCAATCGATGAAATTTTATTTATAAAATGATTCAACACGTATTAAAGATATAACGCGAGTAATTCAACTGCGTTTGAAACCTTCGTCGATCTCGCACATAACCTCAAACTTGAGCCGTCATCGATCTTCTGGCATCCCGCGCGTTTCAAAGCGGGATAAATTTAACGAAAGGAAATAATGATTAATTGATAACGGACGACTATCTGTAAAGCAAAGGGGAGACTACGTGTCGAGACTACCATTCGACCGTGGACGACGTTCAAACGAGATCGTCGCGACGAGACGATATCAAAGAAAGACGTAACTCTTGAACGGGAGCGGAAATGAGATGTGGAAAAAAAGAGAAGGAAATGGAAGAGAGAGAGAGAGAGAGAAAGAGAGTGTAAGCTGATGAAGGAGAGATGAAGAAGAGTATTGTAACATAGAGAGTTTGCAGCCACTGTCGGATAAAAATATTCACGCTCGAAAATAGAAACACGGACACGAGTACGATCCACCCAACACCCGCAATTGCTGGACCGTACTTGGCCTTAGTCGATCGGGTTTCACGAGTTGTACACCATCCATTTGTCGAGGTTAGGTGCAACAATGTTCGAATTGTGGAACCAGAGCCAAACATGGAACGTGAAATTTGAATACAGCGAATGTGAAACGGTCGAAGGAAATAAAAAGAGTTTCGAAAGAAATGAAATAAAATAAAAAAAAAAAGGTTATGTGATAAAAATTTTCATAATTTTTATACGTGCATGTTGCGATATTGTTCGTGTACGTAAAATTGGATAAATAAAGCGCGATTGGAGTAAAAAAAATTTGAAGGAGTTTGATGAACTAATATTTATGGTGACAAATTTTGGGAGAGAAAAATAATTAAATTTTGTTTATTTTTTACATTAATAGTGAAATTTTAACTTGTATCGTACAAGTTTTGTAACGTACGTGTAATTAATAGAATCAAAACAATTAAAATTTATTATTTCGTTTAAACATTCTAAATTTCGTGATCTACTCTATTCTCAGAGATTTTAGAATTTTCATGGTTTATTTATTTTTTACATGAAAGAATATTTTTGTATCGAGAATAATTGTGACAATGATCCTTCTAATCTAAAAACAAAAATAAATTCATTTACGTCAGCAATAAATCTTGTACCAAATATAAATTGTATATTTATGTCATCTTATATCACCTCTCCGTTATAAATAATACTTTCCGTTCTTTTCAGGCAAACAATTCATTTGACTCGTTTCAAATTCAATAATACTAAAAAAGAAGAAATAGATAAATTAAAACATTGTCTTTCAATAATTCACCTCCTTATAAATATTATGTAATGAAAATTGCAACGACCTTGATTCAAGAAATCGGAGATTTTAGCATCTTAAAGCAAAAGAATTATCCGATTCGAAGCTAGCAATTCCTTCGCGGCACGTGCAACAAAAGTTCTAATAACCCCGGACACGTGTCATTTAAAATTAAACGGTGCAGCGTCGCGCGAGTTAGATTAATCGAAGCGAAAGTCCCGCCTCGGCTTTTATCCACCCACATCGCCGACGACATAAAACGACGCCTAACACGAGCGAGAAGAAAATTCAATTCCAATCGATTTTATACAAGGTGTCAACACATTCGTGGAATACCTTTGAAGGATCAATTCGAAACGAACTACTTTTCTCGACTTGATGCAAATTTCAATATCCCTATACTTAATAAACGATCTCTGATCGCGTTTCGAAACTGTCTCACAAATACACATAGAAAAATTACGTGAAAAGATACGATTATTATTTTCCTAATGCAATAACATTTGTTTAAAATTCTCATCCGGGTGTAACACCTTACTTCGATACAATTATTCAAACAGGTTCGAGTATTAACACCCTGTATATATATATATATTCTAGCTTGGAAGGCTGGCTCGAGCGTAAAACGATCCCCAAACTCGACTCTCGCCGCTAAAACTCGGTCCAAAAACGGGAGCAATATAGCTTACCGGTGTATACGTGTGATGGTGTATTAATAACGGCGTGTGCGAGGGAGGTGGCCCGATTCATTGAAGACCAGTTATAGAATGATGCAGGCGGCCGCGTAACTACAATTTATTTTTTGGCTATTTTTAGCGGTTGGCGTAGCGCCACTATTTTCGGTTCTCTCAAATTTCTCACTCCATATTTGGGATTATGGATGACGGGGCCGAGCACCGCGGTGTATCTTTACGACTACGCCCGTTGAGACACTTTCGTGCTCTCTGCCTCGTGCTCCCCTAACTATCCATTTATGCCCAACCTGACTAAAACCAGCCGCGCCGGTTAACCCCGGGTGTGCTGCCTCTACAAGAATTTTCCCTTCCTCCAAAACCTCCAAGACAAATTGACACCCAATGTCCCATAGGACGATCGTGAAATTAATTATTGGCGCTAATTGGAGAACGACTCAATTTTATCTTCGATCGCAAAAGCTGTCCAATTTTTTGATTATCCAAGGTCGAATGGAAACGCAAAATGGAAACGTGATATTATCATTATTATTATTATTCTTTAACATGGAAAATGATATTGGATTGGAAGGAGTGATAATTCGACAATTGGTATAAGGACGAAGGAGAGAAGAGGTCAGAATCGCGTCCATGGGGGAAGCGTGTGCGTACGGGATTACGGGCAACAAGTGGACAAGACGGATTCGTGGCCGCACACGCGGCCGAGCATGCGTTTGGACTGTAATTGGCAGGGGCGCAAGTAGGTTAAAAACGGTAAGTCAGCAGCTGCAATGCTGAGGAATATGTCAAGGCGACGCGTTATCGAGGAGAGTAGCGATTTCTCGAGAAATCCATCCTCGATCTCGATCTCGATGGGTCGAGTCGTATTAAAAAATCGAGAGAGAAGGAGATAGAAAAATGAGTGAAATGAAAAATCGAAAAGGGTGCTCGGATGGACCGTGATCCACTGGCCCGGTTACACCATCGTAGATCAACTCACACAACTCGCACGCCGCCGCTTCTTCTATTCGTTCGAATTTACCTGTGACGGGAAACTTGCTTTCTGGCAACATGAAGGATCGTTCTTCCTTGCCGTAAATCGACAACAACAACGATGGGCGACGAACATTCGTACTCGAACAATCCCCGAATCTTTCTTCCTCCGACTCGATTCGACGAGGATAATAATGATGACGATGACGTTGACGATGATTGCGATGACGACGATCCACGTCACTGGTGAACAGGTATCCGTACAAGCACGTACTAAGGACGCGAACTAACTATCGGTGCGATGAACCCGGTGCGATCACGCGATCCTCGGACACTTGTTGTCTCGGCCGTCACGTTAAGTGTGTAGTGCCACTCGGGGAGGTTGGAAAAGCGGGGAAAAGCGAGCCGATCGGGTGGATGGGCTGGGTGCAAAATGGAGACGGTGGTCGAAGGAAGGAAGGTAAGTAAGAAGGCGGATAGAGGGCACGTGTCTGGGATGGGTGGTTATCCGCACGGGAACATCGATACTTAAAGAGGGAAGAAGAAGAAGAAGAGGAAGAGAGAGAGTAAAGCTAAAGAGTAGAGGGAAGGGAGAGAAAGAGAGAGAGAGAGAGAGAGAACGGAGCAGTCCGTTTTGAGGCAGTTTTGGCACTGTTACTAGCACGGCCGGCCAAGCACCAACCCCGAGCAGCGCCTCCACCTCCGCCCGAGAGGGGAAGGAGGGAGCGAGATGAGCAGAGGGACGGCAGAGGTCCTCCCCCCCTTCCTTGGGGGGAAGAGGAGGCGGGGGCGTATATTCTTGATTTGGGCGGTTGGAAATCTGAGATTGCTCCATATCGGGCTGTGCGGCGTGACCACGGAGGTGCTCTGTAATAGCAGACGTCTCTCAAACCTTCTCTCTCCGCAGCCTGCGCCTCTTTCCCCCTTCGATCTTCCTTTCATCGCGTGACTCGCTCTCTCTCTCTCTCTCTCTCGCTCCTTCTCCCGTCTTTTGCTGCTCACCTTTGTCTTGTCGCGCACTGTCGCGCGTTTAGACATTAGATTTGGATGATGGAATTATATATGATGGATCCTAATGTGATGATCGACGCGCAGACGCGCGGGTGCGATTTATTGTATCTCTTGATAGAGAAAAAGGTTAAATTGTTAATTGTTGATGTTTTTTTAATTATTTCTTCGACGATACGATTCCACGTTTCGAGGAATTTTAAAGGAGAAGAAAGAATAATTTTTAAATCGTTTAGATGAGATTAAAGAGATTTTTTTTTTTTTTTAGTTTAACTACTGAGAGAAAGGGTTAATTATCCGCTTCAAATTCACTTCTTCGAATCTTATAAAATCCACACACTCTCGTCCTCTATTTCCATCCCAATCGTAAAATACTGCTCTCCGTCTCTCTTTCTCCCATCTTCCTTCTTTTTTCTTGCATGGGTGTGGTCCAAATCCGATATTTTGGCACCAGTCACCCTTTCCCTTCTTTTTTTCTCTCTCCACTTCCTCTTCGCCCGCGATTTATAACATATATATATATATATCGTTTCTTTCGAACTTTTCTCCTCCCTAACCTCTCTCTCTCTCTCTCTCTCCCTTTTCAATTCGCGAACACGAGTGATGCGAAACGCGAGGGTATATTTAACCCCGTGAACCAGCGGGGAGGAATCGAGCCGCGTGCAACCGGTTCCTTCCTCTTTTTCAATCTCCTCTCGTTCCCTTTTTCCCCTGCCTCCCCCACTCCCCGCGTGACCCCTTGACTCGCAAGGTGCGCGACGAGTCGAAACCATTTGCTCGCCAATGATTAACGCGCTTGATTGAAACGGATCGATTAGCTCATGGATGAATAATTGCACTTGCTCGTTTGAAGGTGCATTAACGTGCATTAACCTTTGGAGAAGCGGAATGGCCCACACGTATGCCGCGTGCGAACTTGGAAAGTAGTAACGTGGAATCTGGAAATTGTTGAATCGTGATTTCGAAAAGGAAATGTTTAAATGTTGAATTCAAAGAGTTTAAGGAATTTAAAGGAGAATTATTCAAATTTGAAGAATTAAAAAAAAGAATGTCGTTCTTCAACCGTAGATGGTTCGTAAATATAATTAAACGAAAAATAATTAATTTCATTGAGATTCAATAATTTTTGAAAATTCACTTTGAAGTTGAGATAATATTTAAAAAGTAATAAAGGATTATTTACGTACATTTAATTGGGATGATAATTAGGCAAACATTGGAGGAAGGGAGGGAGTAGAGTGTCGTAGTATTTGCTCGAATTCCTGGCTTAAAAAGAAGTTAATCCAGAAATAGCGGAGGAACATTGTAACAGTTTGTTGGCTTGATCAGAAAATTACGTCGTTGCCGTGGCGGCTGTGCAACAACCGGATAAATGAGAGCAAAAAATCGGCCATCTTGAGTGCTGCCAACAGAACACCGACAATGTTAAATCGTCCGAAGAACACACAGGTTTTGCCTATGTGGGGTCGGGCTGTTTACGAAATGAACGAGAATCGAAAATAGTAGCTCCCAAAACTTGAATTATATCTGGAAACCTTATACCATTACCGCCTATAAAGCGCTGAAATAACACAAGATTTAATATTATAGTCGGGAACATTTGGTAACAAGTTTGTTCACTGCCGTTTTAAAATATTTGTTTGCCTCTTGTATCGGGTGATTTGATATGTCTTACAAAATAGATCCAGAAACGTTGCGGGAATATTCTTGGAAATGAAAGTTTGTCTGTGAAAATTGATAAACTTATAAATTAGTTTGATTTTTCTTCCATTCAAAATTTAATCAATATTCGAAAAAGAATATTTGCAAATTGTTTTGCTTTCGAAAGAATCATAATGATATAATTATTGATATAAATAAAATTAAATGTATCGTGGAATCGATTCGAATAAGTAAATTTCCTAAGGTAGAAATAAATTCGATTATGCAATAATAGAACCATTTTAGAATCCAAGCGGGGATCAGCCCTGGTCTGCAATAACAAGATAAGCTAACAATAGATATCCACGAATCGAGACATTTTTAAACAACTCGTAAGCCAAGAACGATTCCAGATAAATAACGGTTAAACGATTCTTAGTTAGTAGCGGAAAGGAAAGCTTCTCTTTCTCTAAAACAATACATAAGCTAACAATAGGTATCAGAGGAATTATATTATTGGAATCTTTGAACAAACGAAGACTGATTGATTTTATGTTTAAATAAATCAGATTCGAGTGGTAGTCAAAATTTATACGATCATTCTAAAATTTACATTGTATTCGAAAAAACGATAGTTAATTAAAAAGAAAGTTTTGAAAAAAAAACATCGACTCAACATTTGGCTAAAATTAATTAATTCGATATATTCAAATTTTCATGTAAAAAAAAATTCCTATTAAATTCAACATAAGTATGCAATATAAGAAAATCAAAGAGATCATAGCGATATTTAATTTACATTTACAAATTCCTTAAGCGATCAACGAACCGTGTTACACTAGCGCCCTCTTTTATTCGTTATTTCAGCTCACAAGGGAACAACTACACCACGACTGTATCACGACTATATCTCGTCTGCTCGCACGTATGCAACGACTAATGCCTGCGTGTTTAACTATGCCTTACCACCAATGTCGCAAGAAACGCTGTTGCAGCACAATGAGACGTCTTTAAGCTGGATAGCGACCAGCTCCAATTATCCGTTTAACTGGTTGATATGTAGCACGGACAGGGGTTACGTATGCACCGGTAACGAGTTCTGTACGTGGCGAGTTTTGAAGAAAATAGAAATATATTACGGTAGAAGGAACAGAGGAAACATGTAATGTAAATCTTGGAGTTAATGTTCCTGAAACTTGGCCTGGAAGGTGGAAGGATAGCTGTGATCGAATTAAGGAGAAATGTTATTTGCAAGAAAATATATATGTATATATATATATGTAATGGAAAATTGTATATGCAAAATGATCCAATTAAGTGTGAAAATAGCGAGGAATTTCAAGTGGAATTTATATCTAAATACTTGATATTTTTATGTCTAGTTGAAGTCTTGCGTTTAATTAAGTTTCTGATGTTTGCAGATTAAAAAGATTAAGAAATATAATAATAATAGGTGTTAGAAAAAAGTTAATTTTTTTCTTAAAAATTTCATCGAAAAAAATGTTATTTCATCTTGTATTATATTCTTGTTATTACTATCTTACGATCTTAATTAATAGTACAACAATTTTCCTTGCTCATCTTATCTATCTATCTAAGAGGAATTACTCGTTCGCCATAAACGAAGGAAGAAAAAGTAGGAACAGAGGCGCGCCACGCGTTTGCAATTTTTCGCGCGAATTCCATGATGATTACACAGCTGCACTTAAGAATCCAATATGGCAACATTTATCTCACAAACGCAAAATCGTTACTTAACATATTTTTCGTGACCAAATGAGATCGATTACTTAATCTTTTTCTCGTTAATTAACTTACCCTGTAATATCATTAAGTCAGAGAAACTATAAAAATAATACAAAATAAAAAATTGGAATTAACCGAGAAATAATCGATTCCAAAGTTCAACGATTTGATCTTTTTCAAAGATGATGAAATATCAACTTGTATATCATAAAATTATAGAATAATAATTTTAAAAATCTATACATTTATATAGTTATGATGTAATATTAGTATTTATAAGACAGATGACATTTATTTACCATGTATTGGCAGCATTATATACGTTCGAAAACGTCATAAAATATGTTGCATTATATGTCCAATCATATACAAGAGAACTTACTTATATGAATATATTACCATATATTTAAGACCAACATTTATGTCGCGTCCACATTGACTAGAAATATTCCCTAATGAAAGCAACTTTTCATCCACATTGAACAACTCACAAGTGGTTATATCACAACCACATTGAGTAGAAATACTTGCAATCTGCATATAATAAAAAAACTTTATGTTCCACCTCAGCATTTCTGCTACGATACAAAAACCACAAGCTAGTTAACCATTCCTAAATGCACTGGTATGTTGACAAGGCAGATTCACTGAAATTTTATTTATCAGAAACTAATTAAGTTTAATTAGGTTAAATGGAATGTCTACTTCAAGCAGTAGACCAAAAACCAATATAAATTTTATGATCTATTTCTGTGCATACTTGTTCGATTGTAAATGCAAACACACTCTTACCGTTTCATGAAATTTATTACCGAACTAGTTTTTACATCTTTTTATATCTCGTCAAAGAATATACGACTTCTTATTTACTTTTCTTTATTCTTTCTCACTCTCGTTTAAGAGTAAATGTGATAATGTTAACAATTCTCAGAACTATATCAGAATTATTTTTCTAATTAATAGACAGTATCTTCGTATACATTTTTGTACTTGATCGCAGAATTAATATTCTTAACTATTGGTTTCCATTTCATCATCAAAGTTAGGTTATGTTGCGCACGATTAACAAATATGTACTACTTAGATCTCTTGAAAATATCGTATGTTGTTAATTATGATTCATAAGCTATCTTAAACTGTAGATCTCTCACTAATAACAATTGATTAATAATAATTAATAATAATACAGTATCGATTCGTTCATACGCACAAAAATCATTATAAAGAAATGAACTTTCGATTCTTCTTCGTTTTCACAATCCTCATTAAATAAAATAAAACTCGAATTTCGTATCGTCTAACAATTATTTACTTATAACAGATCTTTATAACGAATAAATGTTACAATAATTAATATTCGCCTGCGAAAGCGCATATTCCACGGTCGAACTCGCTATTTCTCGACATAACGCGCTATCTAGTGGGTTAATGAGCCTTGAAACCTTCACAAGATCTCGGCTTTCCCACACCGTGCCACCGGACGTCGCGCAATCTCTTCTCTTCTCAGTCACGTCCGTCCATCCGCGACGTCCATCTGTTAATGCATGCGATTTATTACGCGCTCTGCTATCAAGCGTTCATCAACTGACGTCGCGTACGATCGTTTAGGGAGGAAATTCTGTCTGCTATGTTACGTGGATTATCCAGTATGATAGTTGATTGGATAAGTATTGGGAATTGAAAGTTTCATTTATGAAATTATTTTAAAATTACGTATAATAGTAAAATTGTATAAAAGTACTTATTGCACATTAATATTTTGTATATAATTTTATTAAATTATTTTATTAAATTCTCGTAATAATTGAATAATTTTTACCATTGTTTTACACGATTAAAATCAAAATTATGGATGTAAAATAATTTTACATAAAAATAATTAACATGAGGTAATCAAAAATATTTTGTTATTGCTTTTTTTATGAAAAAAAAAGAAAAAGTACAAAAAGAATAAAAGTAATAGTAATTTAAAAGATTAACGATGATGATATGACCTGTATTAATAAAAATAATGATACATTTCAACATAGACATGTATACATCGCTTAGAAGACAACAAATTTATAGCACGAATTTACTTTTAACGAGAAGATTTTGTAATTGCAATTAACGATGGATGTTAACAGTCACGGCAGGTTTGCCAAATGATTCGAATACCTACAAACATTTTCTAGTTGTGTCATACGGCTAACAGCTTGGAATATATTTTGTGTCTTATATCGATTGCATGAGCAATAAAAAAAAACATCTACGTACGTAGCTTTTCTTACATTATCTAGATAATATTACCGGAATAAAATTGGATCACGGATATTCTGTTTATAATTTGCATATATTTCAAAGATATTTTTATTATGCTTTTTGAACTCGATGTTCAAAAACAGCAACCACCTACTGTCTTCGAATAGAAAGCGTAGGTGAGTATAATCAGAGCAATACGCTGTTGATATTCAAATGTGAATCAACTGTGAGAAATCACGAGAGGATGAAATTATCCATAATTTGTACACATGAATTACGATAAAAAAAGAGAGAAAGAGAGAATTAATGATTCTCGTTATCGATATTCAATTCTACGCAAAATTGATAAACCACGATACAGATCGAAAGTAAAACGATATCGATGAAAAATAAATGAAACGAATAGATAGAATATTCTAAATATCCAGAGACCATTAAATAAATCCGATTGTCGCACGTACACGCGCGACACAATGGTTTCCTCTTTCCGCTCGAACGCGTATTAAAAAGCGTAATCGCACGTTAAAATGGCAGCTTGTCAACCGTGTTGTATGCTCATGGTCTGTCGCCATGGCCGGCATAATGTCGTTCCATGAGCGTAGCAGATAAAACCTGGTGGCACAGGACGAGGAGTGGAAAGTAGTTGTTGACATATCGCTGCCAGGTATTGGGACACGTCGTGCAAGTAGGCGGGGTGGCATAACCTATGCGGGATATAATATACGCCTCCACGATATTGAACAAACTTATATGCGACTAAGACGTCTACGCATCATCTTTTCTCTGTTGACAGCAGTTTTGATAAGGGGAAATGTAATTCTATGCAGAGTAGAAGTACTCTATTAGAGTAGAGTAAAGTATGAGTTTTTAAATTTAGAATGTGAAATTACAACTGTGATTTGGATCAAAGTTTAATATCTTTGAGTTATAAAAAAGACTAGAGAACTTAAACTATTTTAAAAGTATAAAAGTCAAGTTAAATCGTTTCAAATTTTAGAATATTAAAGTTGAAGAACAAGTTTATATATGGATTTTATGGCTAGAATTATACTCTATGAAAGATAGCTAGAATTAAGTCTCAAAAGAAATTCTAAGTCAATTTATCTCAAGATTTATATCAGAATTGAAATATTCTAAGGAGAATTGGAGATAGATTCATAATAGAAAGATTAGTATTAGAGCCTAAAAATATGTAGAATCAAAATATCATTATAAGATATAAATTGAATTAAATAATTCCAAGCTTACAATATCAGAGATGAATTATCCTAAAAGTATAGGATTAAAGATAAGAACTTTATAATTAATTAGAAGTAAACTGAGATAAGGTAATATATAAGATACCATCATAAGACTTATAAAACCAAAGCTGACTCATCTCAAGGCTTGAATAATTGAATTATCTTAAGAACACAAGAAATAAAAGAATCAATAAATAAAAAACTAGATTACTTTAATGTTCACAGATTATTCTTACTGAAAGATTCTAAACCAGGACATTTCAAGAAATTAAGCCTAGATTATCAAAAGATTTGAAGATTCAAATTGGATTCTAATCATATTACTGGATGTTCATACAATCTTTATGAAATTCTTCCAGCTTATTTAGATTTCTTCATATTTGGTATGAATTATTCCTGGTTCTTTAGTTTCATTTTTTCAATTCCTTAATTTTTTGATGTAATGTAATAATTCAGATACATATATTTGCATGATTATTCATTCAGAATTTATTGTCCACATAAATTGTATTGTATATGAATTATCTAAATTATATGTATATGAATTATCTAAATTATTCCATGTAGTGTAAGTCATTATCACAAATTATGTTAATTCGACAATTGCTTACGATGCAAACTTTAACCAGTATTTTTCTTACAATCTTTTTTTAATGATTCACGTTTTAGTCACACTTGTTAATCTTCATCAACTTCATCTATTACCATATTTACGTAATTTATTTCTCGAAATTCAAACTTATTTCGACACAGCTTTTGCGCGTGTTAAAACTCATTAGAACAAGTGATCATAATTATTAAATGATAATCGGCAGAGAATAAATATACAAAATTATATTTTCTGATATAGTTACTATAGCTTCAATGTATTAATTATCCAATAACGTGACGAGAGATACGTGCGTTTGAACCGGTTCACCGATGAAAAGAGTATACGAGTTAAACTCGAAGGACGTATCCTCGATAATATAAACACAGACTGGCATACGTCGAAAACTTGTTTATGCACTTCGAGAGTCCATAGTGGACCAATTTTGCCTTGATGGCTCTGATCTCGAGTAAATCCAAATTCGTATTGGTACGGATGTAAATCTGATAATGCAAAACTCTGGCTGCTTGACGCTCTCCAATCCTTTTTAAGTGTGTTAAGTTTTACATACGATTCAAGAGAATCTTAATCGTTAATATTCTATGTAATAAAAATTTTGTATATTTCACAATCTTCAAAGATGTATTATTTAATGTATATACATATAT